TAAAAGTTAATTAAAAACAAAAATAGTGAATGAGCTCTACTCCAATAATTTTTTTTTAATTTAGCATAAAAAAAAAAAAGCAAATCTGAAATGCACGGCTCAGTGAATTTTTCTGTATACCTCCATGGAACCACCACTCGAGTCAAGAAATAGAATATTTCCAGCCTTCTGGAAGGTACTTTCTTGTCACCTCTCAGTCAGTAATGCCCCCTCCCTCCCTCCCTCTCAACCTTTCTATGGTTAAGCGTCCTGTTAAGGTGGCAAAAGGCAAGGTTTACACTCTCCCAGCTGAATGGCCCGCAGACAAACCCATCCAACAAAGAAAGAAAGGAATATTTTCTTGTGGAGATGTGGCTAGATTTGGTTGGAGTTAAAAATGAAGCTTGGTGGATCCTAAGACCTTTTTGTGGCTGAAATATTTAGACACTGTATTTTAAGAAAACTTTTTACTCATTTGTAGACTTTTATCTGGCCAGGTTTCCATCCTGAGGGTTTTCCTTTCTACTTATCTGACAAACCATAAATTTTCTTTCCTTTAAGGGCAAAACCAACCATCGAGCACATTTATGGCCCAAGTTTTAAGAGCCGGCGGCCCTTTCTAGCTTGTATCTCTGGTTAAACATGTCTTCTTTTTCTTGGAGCAGAGTTTGCAGAAAGGAGCTGAAGATAATGAATTCCTCTAGAGACACCTCCTGCCCGCTCAGCGCGAGAGAAGATGGGGGAAAAGCCCCCTTCGTCTGCTGTGGCCAGCTAGCCGCACTCTGAAAGTCTTCCTCCTGCTCCCCCTGGGGTCTTTCTTTATCTAACCTCAGTTGCGTTTTCCTTCTTGGCTTTTGATTCATCCTCCTCTGCATCCTTGAAAGAGTGTCAGATTTTTGGACTTCGGACAATTCACGTGTAGCAATCCACATTGATTTTTGTGAGTCTGTTTGCTTCCAGGACTGAAACCTGCTTTCAGATGAGCTGCCCAGCGATTGGTTAATTAGTTGACTTTAGCCTCCCTTGGAGGACAAGGTCGCAGAGTGTCGGGAGGTTGGGGGAGATTTTACGCCCTTCGTGTTGGCTCATGTCTTGTGTTGGGGGCATTAGTGATGGGGGATTGGGCTCTGTGACTTGGAAAAGAAGTCTACTGAAGGGATTCCCTTCCTGCTTCTTGTCCTGTTGGGGAGAAGGTGGGTGAAAACTCTGGTTACCCCTTGAGCACAGAGCTGTTTTTCCCATTATGAAGAGCTGACTTGTTGCCACAGACCGTAATGCTGGGAAAGATTGAGGGCAAGAGGAGAAGAGGATGACTGAGCATGAGATGGTTGGATGGCATCATCAGTTCAATGGACATGAGTGAACAAACTCTGGGAGATAGTGAAGGACAGGGAAGCCTGGCATGCTGTGGTCCATGGGGTCACAAAGAGTCGGACATGATTAAGCAACTGAACAGCAATAGAATAGATCTCATTTGGAGCCTAGAAGCTTTTTTTTTTTTTTTTAATTGAAGTATAGTTGATTTGCAATAGTGTTGGTTTCAGGTGCACAGTAAGATGATTCAGCTACATACACACACACGCACACACACATATTCTTTGTTTTTGGTTCTTTTCCATTATAGTTTATTACAAAATATTGCATATAGTTCCCTGTGCTATACAGTAAACCTTTTCGTTTACCTATTTTATATACGTGGTTTTGTGCATCTGTTAATCCCATATTCCCAGTTTAATTCTTTCCCACCCCCTGAGCATAGAGCTTTTAATGCAGGTGATCGTGGACCCAGAGTCTTCCTAACTTCGCGTGTATTGAGCACCTACTGTGTTCCAGATCAGATGGCGGGTGTACTGTCGGGGCATTTCCCGGTGTGGTTTTGGTGTTTCTGGTTTCCGGTGCTGCTTGCACAGGGAGCTTTGAGGTGTGGTCTGATCCTTCCCTATTTTGGCAAGCCACTTCTTGTCGATTTCCAGAAATGTGATTAGGAGTGTTTTCCTGGGTGTAAAGGCCACACAGGGTGATGTGGTTTAGGCATCAGCTGCTGGCAGGGCTGATGGGATATGGGATCACTTCCTCGTCCCTTCAGTTGGGATCGTCTGCAGGCTTTGGATGGGACGTGGGAGATGTATTTTTGGAGAGATATAGGGCTCTAAATCACTTTGCTGACAAAGTCTAGTCAAAGCTATGGTTTTTCCAGTGGTCATGTATGGATGTGAGAGTTGGACCATAAAGAAAACTGAGCACCAAAGAATTGATGCTTTCGAACTATGGTGTTGGAAAAGACTCTTGAGAGTCCCTTGGACTGCAGGGAGATCCAGCCAGTCAATCCTAAAGGAAGTCAACCCTGAATATTCATTGGAAAGACTGTTGCTGAAGCTGAAGCTCTAATACCTTGGCCACCTGATGCAAAGAGCCAACTCGTTGGAAAAGACCCTGATGCTGGGAAGGATTGTAGGCAAAAGAAGGGGAGAGGAGGGTGGAGGATGAGATGGTTGGATGGCATCATGGACTCAGTGGACATGGATCTGAGCAAACTCCGGGAGATGGTGAAGGACAGAGGAGCCTGAGGCACTGCAGCCTACGGGATCGCAAAGAGTCAGAAATGTCTCAGTGACTGAACAGTCGTCGTGTCTGACTCTGGCTCTAAACACCATTTCAAGGAATCGAGTGTACCAAGGTGGATGAGTGAGCTGGATGCTGGCCTCAGCTTTTCTGTTACTCGTGTTGAGACTCGGGTAGTGGGGGTGGTCTTCATCATCTCTTTGCTCAGTTTTCTTTTCGGTCACACGTGGAGAATAATCCCACCCTCCTTATATCACAGAGGTCTTTATGAAGAAAGACAGTTCAGAGCCCCAAAACTTGTAAAACGTAGTTCCCAGTGGTTTGAGTGAAACTCCTGGCCCCTCCCGAGTCCCGTGATCTTCGTAACCAAGTGTGTGTTCCTGTCCTTACACCCATTTCTCCATCTCACTGTCCTTGTGCAGTCGCTAAGTTGTGTCCGACTATTCTCAACCCCATGGACCGCAGCTCACCAGGCTCCCCTCTCCTCCACTATCTGCCTTGCGCCTCTTCCTAGGTCTTCAGGACATGCCTTGGGACCTGTTTCAAGAGAGTGTTTAATACACAACCCTGAAGACTCTTACAAGCCTTTCTGGGTAACACTTACTTCATTGCACTTTTCAGAAATGAAAAAAAAAAAAAAGAAAACGTCGTTTAGCAGACTCATGGTCACCGGGGCTGACAGATGTCACTCAGAATTTTATTATTTAAAGCCACAATGATTTTCCAAATAACCTAAAAATACATAATCTAACCTCAAAATAGTGTCCTGTAACAGAGGCCAGGGAACCCTGAAGGAAATGAAGTCAGCATCTTGGCACCCTTTACGTGCTGGTTCAGTGACTTTGAGAACGTTTACTTTCTTTGAGACATTCAGGCACATGGAACTATATCAGGTTGCTGAGTGTGCCTGCCAAGGTCTCAGAGAGCGGGGGGTGGCTTGGGTGTCTTACTCTGGTACCTACGCGAGGGTGACACCTCTTTTATTCACCATAAGGAACTTTCTCCCCATTCTTTCTTTAATTCTGTTGTTCAGTCGCTCCGTCACATCTGATTCTGTGACCCCATGGACTACAGCACGCCAGGCTTCCCTGTCCTTCACCATCTCCTGGAGTTTGCTCAAACTCACGTCCACTGAGATGCCGTCTGCCAGTCTTGTCCTCTGTCGCCCCCTTCTCCGTCTGCCCTCGATCTTTCCCAGCATCAGGGTCTTTTCCAGTGACTCTGTTATTTATTTTTGACCATGCGGGGTCTTCATTGCTGCAGGCTCTTCTCTGCCTGCAGTGAACAGGGCTGCTCTCCAGCTGCGGTTCACGGGCATCTCATCGTGGTGCGTCTCTTGTTGCAGAGTCTGGGCTGTAGGGCCCGTGGGCCTCAGTAGCTGTGACTCTCCGTCTCTGGAGCGCGGGCTCAGGGCTTGTGGGGTGCACGGGCTGAGCTGCTCTGAGGCATGAGGGATCTTCTCGGACCAAGGGTCAAACCCGTGTCTCCTGCAGCGGCGGGCAGAGTCTTCACTACTAAGCCACAGGGGAAGCCTGCCTTCTCCTCGTTCTTTGGGAGCATGGGTGGGGACAGACCGGCCTTCATACTTTTTGAAAAATCAAGCACCTTCCAGTCTGTAAGTTGTTTGGCTGTATTCAGAAGATCCCGTTCTGAATCTGGGCAGGTGGGTGGGAGAGACAGTTGTCAAGGGAAACTAAAATGTCTTCAGTACCTGCCATCACCCAGGCAGCGTGCTCCCCTGAACCCTCGTGTTATTTACTTATTCCTACTCATTATTTAAGTATATATTCAATAGTATTGATTTAAACTTTTTAAAAAACATTTATTGAAGTGCAGTTGATTTACAGTGTTTTTTCCTTCCCCCCACTGTACCATGCAGTTTGTGGGATCTTAGTTCCCCAACGAGGGATCGAATCCTCACAGGACTGCCAGGGAAATCTCAGTAGCATTGATATTTATACCAGTTACATGAACACATAATTAGTCATAAGTAATCCATTTGTTGGGCTTCCTTGGGGACTTAGACAGTAAAGAATCTGCCTGCCAAGGCAGGAGACATGGGTTCAATCCCTGAGTGGGGAAGATCCCCTGGAGAAGAAAGTGCCTATCCACTCCAGTATGCTTTCCTGGGAAATCCGGTGGGCAGAGGAGCCTGGTGGGCTACAGGCCACAGAGTCACAAAGAGTCAGACACGACTTATAGACTAAAACAACAAGGCCAACCATGGGTTAAAAAGCTTGTGAGAATTATGGTCCCATTTTACAGATGAGGAAGTGGAGTCCCGGACGGGTTCAGGAACTCGCCCTGAGTGTTACAGGTAGGAGATGGCAGAACTCGTGTTTGAGTCTAGGTGGATCAATTTGGATTTTGGCAATGGTGCGAATCTCTTTGCTGTCTCTATGTCCTGAACGAGGAGCCCTGGGACCGTGGGTGGGACCAACAAGGCCGTCTTTCTAGGACTAGGAGTTGCAGAACTGGCGTGCCTTGACATGGGGGGGCGGCGCGGGGCGGTGTGTGTGGCATCCTCCCCCTTGTCCGTGCCCCAGCCTTTCCAGGAAGCCGTCCCCAGGTGTCAGCTCCCGCACCGCGTCCGTCCTGCTGGAGGCTCCCTCTCCAGGTCGGTCTCCAGGAAGCATCTCCGGGCGGCTTCCGAGCTGGGGGGGCGGCGGGCCCGGCGGCCAGTCTCTGACTTGCTGCTGTTTGGTTTTCTCTGACTGGATCTTTGTTTCCGTGAAGCCCTCAGCTGCCCAGGCTCTTGCGCCCGGCTTGATCGGGGCCACATGCGGCGCTAGCCTGGTTAAGTCAACACCGTTGGAATATTACCTGTCTGTTAACCTGTCAAGATTGCTTTACGGTCCCCTTTTATCTCCCCCCCACCCCCCACGGAATTTCCCCTGGAGTTTTCTGCCTGCCTTCCTGCATCCTGCAAAACCGCCCCCACCCCCCGAGTCATTAAATATTGTCAGAGTTCCGCCACTTGCTGCCGCCTTGTTTGCCCAGTACAGATAAACTGGTGTTGAGTCTGTGATGTGGGCCAAGGACACTGGGCTCCTGGTCCCGAGAAAGTCGCGGCGGTCCCTGCCAGGTGGAGGCGGTGGGGGGGGGGGGGCGTCTGCAGGGTCTAGGGGCTGCCTGAGCCTGGGGGGCCTGGGGGGCTGCCCGAGCCTTGGGGGGGCTCCCCGAGCTGCAGCTCAGTCCGTCAGCGTGCTGGCTCAGGGGCCTGGCTGCCTTCCCTGCCTCTTCCTTCCCTCCCTGCCCACTCCACCCTCTCTCTAAACATCGACTTCATAAACTGGAGGGTCTTAGGGGAACGTCCAGTCCTAAGCCTCAGAGAGCCTCAGACCTGGCTCCGGGCTTTGGTCTCTCGCTTGACTGAATAAGTTCAGCGGTTCTTTAGAGATTCACCGTTTTTGCCCTCCTCCCCGCAATGATGACAGAAGACTTATAACATCAAATGCACCCTTGTGATCATTTTATTTTTTTATTTTTATTTTTTTCCTTGTGATCATTTTAAAGTGTAAGTGTCAGTGGCCTTAAGGACGTTCACGATGTCATGCAGCCTTTACCACCGTCCGGCTCCAGAAGCTTCCAGAAGGACCGCAGAAGGAAGCCCCGCCCCTGTTAGCAGCCACGCCCCCTCCCTCCCTCCCTCCTTCCTCGTGCACCCTGGCAACCTTGAATCTACTTTCTGTCTCTCTGGATTTGCCAGGTCTGGATATTGCGTGCGTGTAAACAGTCACACGCTATGTGGCCTTTTGCGTCTGGCTTCTCTTACTTAGCACGATGTACACAAGATTCCAGAATTCACTCTTGTTTTCTGTTCCGGGTGAGAACCCCTGCAAAGGATGATGGAGCAGCTGCTGGGGGCGTCTGGGGTAGGCTTAACTGGGTCCTCAAGTCTTAACCTGAGCCTCTGATCTCCCCATCAGCGCCCTGCTGCTACGGAGACTTCCCGCTGCCTCCTAGTGGAGGTCGTTTGGATGTTCATGGACACCATCGGGCCTCCCTCCCACAGGGGCCATGGGAGCTTCAGGGTCTGGGGCTGCTGGGGTCTGGGGTGCCTGTGTGGGGAGGGGGCCCTCCTGGGCAGCCCTCCACCCCGCTGTGATCCTGCCACGTGCTGCGGCCCTTCCATCCTCTGGGTCGGAAATGTGACAAGTCCTGGAGCCGATTCCTTGTCGGCCACCCGGGCTCGGCATATTGTCTGGCAGAGCCCTCGCTTCGGATCAGAGCCTGTGTAATGTTGGGGCTGTGGGCTTCGAGTCAGCTGGCCCTTTAAATCTTCTCTCTGCCCTCACCTCGCTGCAAGCTCTCGGTTTTTCCACCTGCAGAACAGGGATGACAGGGGTCCTTAGGTGAGGACTGTAAGGGGATTGGATGCACTGTTGACCATGAGTCACCATGTTGGGTCTGGCATTTAGCATGTGGATAGTAATGGGTCACTGTTAATAAGATCTAGGATTAAAAAAAAAATCAATGCATTCTCCCTTCCACATCAACTTGGCGCTGTTCTAGAGTTCTGGCAACTTCTAGAAAGTGCACAGGGTTTTACTGTATCATTTAATTAGATGCGTTTGCTGGCTTTCAGTTTGAAAAGCTCCAAACTCAGGTCATGGTTTGTTCTGCGACGAGGAGAAAACCTCACTTCCCTCCGAGTCAGCCGCCAGACGGAATGACTCTGTCTCTGCTTTTTGCTTGTTTGTTTGTTTCACCATCATTTGGGGAGTTTCTGACCTTCTGAGGCTGTTCCTCGCTCATTCCTGTTTCCATTCCAGTAGGCTGACCCTGGGGGCGTTGGGGACACGGTGCTCATTAATCTCGAGTGATACGTGTGGGGTCCGGAGAGCGTGAAAGCTATGCATCCTGAGGGCCCAGGCCTCTCGGGTTAGGGGGGACGTGGCTTTGTTTTATTTGCAGCAGGTTTAGGGAAATTCTGCGAAGTTTCCTGAACACCTACTATGTGAGTGTGCGAAGTAGGCTGAGAGAGGCTGGTGGGCACTGATACGTGGTTCCATTTAGGGCTGGTTTGGGTGGTGCGTGAGATCCGAAAGACCATTGCAGAGGGCAACAGCGAGGTCCTGCTGTATAGCAGAGGGGATGGCATTCAGCACTCTGGGTTAAACAGAATGGAGAAGAGTATGGCAAAAAGAACGTCTCTGGGTATAGCTGAGTCACCTGGCTATGCGGCAGAGATGGTGGTGGGGTTCTGTGTTGTGTTTGTCACTCAGCCATGTCCATCTCTTTGTGACCCCAAGGACTGTAGCCCACCAGGCTCCTCTGTCCATGACCTGCTCCAGGCAAGAATCCTGGAGTGGATATCCATGCCCTTCTCCAGGAGATCTTCCCAACCCAGGGATTGAACCCAGGTCTCTTGCCTTGCAGGTGGACTCTTTACTCTCTGAGCCACAAGAATTGGTACAACATTGTAAGTCAGCTATACTTCAGTATAAAAACAAATGAAAAGAGAAAGAAAGAATGTGTATAGATGGGTACAGCTGAGTCATTTGGCTGTAGGGCAGAGATTAATGCAACATTGTAAGTCAGCTGTCCTTGAGTAAAATGTGCATTTTAACAAGGGAGGTGTGGGCAGCTCCCCATACAGAGCCAGCTTCCCCATCTTGGCCGGTGTTCCATAAGCCTCTCTGGGGAGCTGGGCAGACACAGGTCACGCCTTCCACATACAGGCTCCTCGGACAGTTGTGTCCATTGCTTTGCTTGGCCCTTGGAACTCAACTCACTTTTGATTCTTGTATGATGGAGATTTTACTTTGAGGTAAAAAAAAGGACCCCACTTCAGTGGGGCAAAGCAGATGCTCATTTCCTTCTTTTTTTCCCCCTCTAATAGTGTGTGTGTGTGTGTGTGTGTGTGTGTGTGTGTGTGTGTGTGTGTGTATTCTTTCTTTACGAAGGATGAACCTGTAGATATGTTTCTAAAGTCAGGTTTGAAAGTGAAAGCGGGCTTCCCTGGTAGCTCAGACGGTGAAGAATCCACCTGCTGATGCAGGAGACCCAGCTTGAATCACCAGGTCGGGAAGATCCCCTGGAGGAGGGAACGGCAACCCGTTGCAGTATTCTTACTAAGTCCTGGTTGACATACAGGAAAACCCACCCTTTTTTGTGTTGAGTGGATTTTCATCTTCAATGCAAGGCCCCCTTCCTGAACTTTCCCTAAGATTTCAGACTCTAAGTGCAAACTCGAGTGCCCGGGGAGGTACACCTCATGTACTTACCCCTTGAAGTGACATCATTTTGAACATAATTAGAACGTGATCCTGGGGGGGGGGGGCAATGGATAAAACAAGGGAAGGGACTTTTAACTTTCTTTTTCTTTTAAGGGAATCGAGTAAGAGTTGCTAAGTCTTTGGCCACATGTCTTAAGGAGGATGCTAAGGACAGGAGGTCTGAACTGGGGGGCGGGGGGGGGGTTGTCTGTTGGCAGGAAGGGCTCAGGCAGCCTTGTCCTGGCTCTCTAAGGCTGTCCAGGCTGGCAGTGGGTACCCGAAGACCCCTAAGCCACATGAAGGTGGGATCCAGACAGGGAGGGTGGGCCTGTGGAGCATCGCGGGCGAGCTGGGTGACCTTGTCTTTTGCCTGCAAGAGACTGAACCTCCTTTCCTTCTCCAGCCCTGAAAGGAGTTTCTGGGACGCTGGGCTCTGGGCAGAACTCTGTGTCTGCTCGCCGCTTATGCCCGAGCCCCCCACTCACTGTGATGTGGTGTGCGTGAGCGACAGTGGTCCCGGCGCCTTCCAGTTTGTTGGCTCGGGGATCCCGTTCCAGGGGATTTTGTGTCATGTTGCTTGGAAACGAGTGGAAATGGGCCAGTTGTGAACTATGTGGGGCTCCCGGGCTTCGTGGGGCCACTGGATGGGAACGAGGCTTCCTGGTCCCCTGGCTGTGCCTGTGTTCCCATGAAGGAGGGACGGGGAGGGTTCTCTATGCTCAGAGAAGCTGCCTTCAAGGAAGGAGAGGAGAGAGGAGGAGGCGGGAACCCCCTCTGTCTTCTGCGCCCTGGGCTTGATTCCCTCCGGGGGGCCAGGCAGGCGATACTCGTGCCTTCCACGCCCCTGGGAGGATGTAGCCGCCTTTCTGCGGGCACCTTGGTGAGGATGGGGGTATAGCTGGGCCAACGCACACCTCGGTGGCGGCTGCTGGTGGGGGAACCAACAGGCTGGTCAGACAGAAGGGAGGGAGCTTCGGGAGGCCCCAGGGAGCAGCTTTCTCTCCTCCCAGCAGCTCACGGGCTCAGAGCCACATCCTGGCTGAGCCATAGAGCCTCCAGCTTCTCTGGGGCCAAGGCTGAGTCACCACAAATCCCCCACAGCGCTGGCAGCGGCTGCTTAAAGAGACCCAGGACTGAAATCAAAGGCGTGGTTCTCCCCCTTCCTGGATCACAGCCTTGTCATGAAGCGGGAGGAGTCGACCCACTCCGATGGTGGAGGACAGAGGAGCCTGGTGGGCTGCAGTTCGTGGGGTCGCAGAGAGTCAGGCACGACTGGGCCGCCGGAGGAGGCTCTCCCTGGAATCGGGCTAGATCAGGGTGTGCGAAGGGTCAGAGTCTGTGGGAAGAGCCCAGGCCTGTCTGCTGCGGAAGAGAGGAGGCCGGCCTCTGCCTGTGGCTTTGCTGAGGGAGGGAGTCCTCAGGGAGAACCCGTGGGCTTAAGCCCGATCCCTTTATTCTAAGCAGTCCTCCTGATAAAACAGGTTATCACTTAGAGCTGCCATTCAGTGCAGTCCCTACAAATGCAGTTTCACAGAGATGGACCCATTGTACAGATGAGGAAGGAACGCTTTGGGGCTTCCCTGGTGGCTCAGTGGCAAAGTATCCGCCTGCCAATGCAAGAGATGCAGGCAGTGCGGGTTTGATCCCTGGGTCGGGTGGGGAAGATCCCCTGGAGGAGGGCATGGCAGCCCACTCCAGCATTCTTGCCTGGAGAATCCCATGGACAGAGGAGCCGGCGGGCTGCAGTCCACGGGGTCGCAGAGTTGGACTCGATTGAGCGCAGCACACAAGCGTAGAAGAATGAACTCAACCCAAGTCAAGAGCCGATCCACAGTTGCCTCTTCGGGTTTCACTTCTCCCCTTGCAGGCCAAGTTCATGTGTTAGCCAGGCCGGACTACCTGGGTTCTCAACCTTCCAAGGGGCTCTTTTCAATTTGCAGCAGCAAATTCATTCCTCTGTCTGTGTGGTGAATGTTGGTCTCGTCCACTGGCCTGGGGAGGTGGGTGGTTTCTGTCCACATTCTGTCTCCAAAACCTGGCACAGAACATGCTCTTTGTTAAATGTGTAAATGAACAGATGATCCCAAAGCTCCTCTATCCACCTTTCAGCCATCTGGTAGACCCCAGCCTCCTGCCCCAGTTGGGTGCATGTGGAACAAGGCCCTCTGAACATGGGTGGCCAAGTTCAGCTCCCTCCCGGAGATTGGCAGAGAGCTCAGCCATGCCCTGCACAGCCCCCAGCCAGCCTACGCCATCTGTTTGCTGCAGCCTGAAGCCTTGGGTGGCGGGTCCAGTGATACTGTGGTTTCCCTTCCCCTTCCCTACCTCTCGCTGCCCATCTCTAGGTGGGCACAGTAAGGAGCGCTGGTAAGAGGGACCCAGGGGTTAAACCCGTACTATTCTGGGAGCCTGGAGTGGGTTGGGACAAACTTGTCCCAAACCAAGTTCAGAGGGACTGACAATGCTCTGGAGTCCTTACAGGCATTTGCTTACAAAGCAAGTAAAGACGTCTGCGGCATCCACCCTGCGTCTTTGTTGTTGTTCAGTCGCTCAGCTGTGTCTGACTCTTTGCGACCCCGTGGACTGCAGCCCGCCACGCTTCCCTGTCCTTCACT